GAAATAGCAGTGGCGCGTCGTGAAAACACGTCTGTCACCAACAACAGCCACCGCTGAACTGGACGGTGAGTACCAACCAAACCCAACCCAACACGGTCGTGTACCTGTTGAGCTGGGAGTGCGTTGCAGGATCCTAAAATGTTAAGGCTGCTACATTGATCATCTTGGTAGGGGTGTTAGCCGAGTTGCTCGGGGCCCGTACCCCCGGTGTGAGCTGGGTAGCACGGGTGATTGCAACGGGCGAACTCCGCGTATCGCGAAGAGCGTCGTTGCAGCCCATGCGGACACAACGGTCGTAGTGGGCACGTGAGACAGGGTCACGTAGGACCTCGGTGAGGAGTGCTTCGGTAGCGTCCTCAGCTGATCGGAGAACTCGTGGGAGGGGTTAAATGGTCCGGCCGATTTTATCCGCCAAATGGCGAACGAGTCAGTGGAGTTCCTGCAGGAACTTAGACGGGAGGTTGTTTGTTGGGTTAGGGTCGTTGTTATTGTTGTTCATGCTGAAACAGATATAAAAAAAATATATAAATCAGTGTACTGCCCTTGTCAGGTATTTTAAAATAAAATAAAATACAAAACCCAAAATTTTAACACAAAAATAGCATATTATTAAATACGGTAGTCATTTTCACCTTGATGACAAATCCTGAGGTAAAATTTTTTTTTTCAAATTAAAGTATATTACATAAGCTTTAATTTAAATGTCCGTGAATTTAGCACCCAAAATTAACTGATAAGTAACCATTGATAAGAATTTAGTAACCATATTGGTTAATTATGAACATTAGGTTGCAGCACCCGCTATTATCAAGGGGTTTTCTATTTAATAATTTTGAATTAAAAGTAATTGATAGAAATCACTATATTACTATATGCTTTATTTTGTATTATTTATTTTATTTTGAATGGTCAGACTTCAACGACTATAAACAAAATGAATTTTTGAAATATTTCATCTCTTCAATGGTATAAGATTTAGTCACCAACAACGTGGGCAAGTGCCTTAAAAAATTAATTTCCATGAACATATACGACTATTTACGATATATCAATATATTCTTGTATAAAACATCATAGGATGGCATGTTCCCATCACTTGTACACCTTGAAAATAAGTTTTTCTAATAGCAAATTTTGTGGTCTTTTCAATGGTATAAGATTTAGTCACCAACAAAGTGGGCAAGTGACTTAAAAAATTAATTTCTATGAACATATACGACGATTTACGATATATCAATATACTTTTTATTAAAAGTTAATGGGGAGTACGTTCCCATCATTTGTACCCCTTGAAATTATGTTTTTCTTATAGCAAATTTTGTGGGCTTTTCAATGGTATAAGATTTAGTCTCCAACAAAGTGGGCAAGTGACTTAAAAAATTAATTTTTTGTTAGCATATACGACGATTTACGATATATCAATATACCTGTATATAAAAATTCATGGGGGGGTACGTTCCCATCACTTGTACCCCTCGAAATTATGTTTTTCTTATAGCAAATTTTATGGGCTTTTAAAAGGTGTAAGATTTATTGGGAAACAATGTGGTCAAGTGAACCGAAATGTTAATTGAAAGTATAATTAAATATGAATTTTTGCAATTCTTATATTATGTATACTCATTGTTACAATGTTATTGTTTATTGATAAGACAGCATAAAATATAAAATTATTACAGAGGATAAATATAAAAATAATTTTGACATTTTATATAACGTTAATATTGTTGATTATACTTAACATTAAGATTGACACTTTGTATTTAATAATAACACCAGAGTAAAAAATAATGATAATAGATAATAATAATAGATAAATAATAATAGATTTTTTCATGGTGAAGAGTGATTTTTAAATGACAAATTATTTATTTATCTCTGAAACGTGTGTAATATAATATAATTAAACAGTATGCGTGTGTTAAATATTTCTCTAAGTTATTTATTTAAATTTTTTTGTTGAAAAGAATAATGTTATTTTAACCAAATAAATATGATAATATAATTAATAGTCTAATTAAAAGTGTTGGTTATTTTAAACAAAAAGATTAAATAAATGATGGTGTTATTAAACTTAAAAGAATATAATAAAAAAATATAAAAATTTCATTGTAAAAAAAATTGTGATTTATAAAATTTAAAAAAGTATATTCGTTTAAAAATTGCATTCAGTGGCTAAATGCCCTTCTCGCAGACTAGTGTAGCATCCTACAACAAAAAAAAAGCTATATTAGTCAAAACACTTTAATATAATTGTATAATAAATTATAATTTTTATGATTTTATATATTCCAACAAGTATTGTATTCTTTGAAAAAAATGGTATAATAATAGTTACATTTGGATGATTCTTATTATGGTTATTTTTAAAATACTTTGCTCTTGATTTTTTGTTTTGTCTTTGAGATAAATAAAAATTATTCCAAAAATTTTGAATACCTTTCTTGATTTTTACTGTGCTGGTAAAAGATTAAAGTATTCGCATTTTAATAAAATGGGATTTTTTTTCAAAATAGTCTTGAAAGCTGACAAAAAAATCTCGAAAATATGAAACATAGGTCAATTGATCGGAAATTTTGTTATTTTCAATTAACCACATATATTATATGTTTATATTAAAGAAGTTATTAATTTATTTATTCAATACAATATAATATCATGTGTTAGCATCGATGCGAAGAAGAGAAGGTATATATTGTACCATGATATGTTTTTTTGTAAAGAGTTAAAATAGAAGTTTCTAGAATATTTGAGAAACTTCTAGAATAATTTTCAATTTTAAATACTTTTCTGACCGACTGTTATATTATTACTTTTTACAAATATATCGCTCATTTGGAGCGATGTTTACATTAATGTCAAATTTTTTAATTACCACAAGCGTATTTGTGGCGCCAAACAGAAGGCAGAATAAAATATTTAAATTCTTAAGAAAAACTAGCCGCCCTTCATCACCTTACCAACTAGTTTAATATAAAAGGCTATGAAAATTAGCACACCAATACATTCTAGTTCACTCTCACTCTTTATTCCCCCACACTCTTACTATTTCATTATAAAGTTAATAATGTAAAATTCATGTCACTTTTGTCAACCTTAATTATTAGTCTTACACATTTATTAAAATAATTAATTCAAATCATCGAAATAAACTCAGTATATTGCCCCTAATACCAGTATTTTTATTTATTTAAATGAACTTAAAATGTCGACGTCAACAAGGAATATCACAATTCATCATCTATCTACGAGTTCGGATGAATATCAAGGTAAGTGTAGTTGTAAGACATGCACTATATTTATGTAATATTAGGATTGAGTGGATGAGAGGTAGGATTAAGATGGATATGAATGAATCCAACACAAACCATATAACCTAAACCACTTTCATTTTCCTCACTTTTCTTTTTATTACAATTTATTTGTGTCTCTCAAGTTTTTAAACTACTTTTGATTCATCGAAAGATCACAAATCGTATCTAGTTGAAGATATTATCCTTTATAATTGAAAAAATTCCCTAGTTTCCTGTAAATGGGGAAATTTGCTCAAAAATAAAAATTTTTTAACTTAATTATCAAAACGATATATTCCAAAATTGATTACTAATAACCAGGGTTCGGGACTTACAGCACTTAAAATCATCAAAAAAAGCACTCAAATAAGCATTTATGAATAAAAAAATTAATCAAAAAATCCCCAAAAATGGATTTTTTGAAAAATTAAGTATACATTTTTGTTGATATCCCAGTATGCCATAACGGTCTAAAAATATTGTTTACCGAGAAATCCATTATAAAAAGGAAATCAACCAAGTACCACACTAGTATGACACTTCAACCATAGCTAAAGAAGTTAACAATGCCGAGGACGGCGTTGGCTATCGAATAGATAAGATAACAAAAACAAAACCCTACTAACAAGGAAGGCAATTGAATTATTTTCCTTATTAGACCTATCAAAAACCGATGAAAAAAACCTGGTTAGGCTGCGTCATAAAGAAAATATTTTAATGTACAAAAACAGAAAAAACAAGAAACAAGCATTTGTTTTTTATTAAATCATCGAAAAAAGCAGAAAAAACTGAAAATAAGCGTTTTTTGAAAAAACCGTCAAAAATAGCAAAAAAAAAAGCATTTTCTAGCAAATGCTATAAGTCCGAGCCCTGCTAATAACATAGATGATTTTATTTAAAATGCACTATTTGAAATATTTCTTTTTGAGTACCATTCAAGACTGTAAATTCAAATAGTAACTTAGATTTATGGTACTTACGTTTTGGTTTTTTACAATCACGAGCCTTATGGCCCATCAATCCACACCTATAGCATTTTACTGTCATAAGAGACATATATTAATAATAAAACTTAATGATATATTTGGTTAGACTTACATTTTGGGGGGTTAACTATTCCAAAGTTGGCCGGTTTTGTGTGTGTGTGTATATGTATTATATTCTGTTAACAGATATAACGATTAGTGAGACTATTTCTTATTTCTTTTAATTTAAATTTCACTCCTCATACAATTTAGAAATTAAAAGTAATAATATTTTTACATTAATTTTTGAGAGTTTGAAACTAAACAAGCTTTCAAAAATTATTTTTCCAACCCATACATAATAAACTAACCAAAAAAAAAAAAATTTTTTTTTGATTTTCCAAAAATCAATAGCACATCAAAAAAATGTAGCCGTCCAAATTTGAGGTTTTTTGATCAACCTTAAAAAGTCACTGAGAGGTGCATTTCAATTTTTACAGTTTGATAACATGGGAAAATGGGATTTTGGTATAAAATCGTTAATTTTTCAAAGCATATATTTTTTAAATTATTTTTGTAAATTCTAAAAGTTAACACTTTTTACAACAAATATATACATAAAACATTTAATTTTATCTATTTCTTTTTTTGGTCAGTCTAATACATACATATAGTAATTAAATATACTTACTCCATTTCCTATTATTTTAGGTATATTACTTTTATTGTATGGGTTGTACCTTTTATTATTTTTATTTTTTTAATTAATTTTGTCTCATTTTTTTCTTGATTGTTTTTTTCTTGAATAATTTNTTTGTTTCAATTTTTTCTTGTATGTTTTTTTCTTGATCAATTTGGTCCAAATTTCTAGAGCTGGTTGCCTCGGGGCTTATGTCCATATTTTCAAAATTTAATATTTTTTCCATTTAAATAACCTAAAATAATATTTACAAATATATACACTTAAATGTTTAAAATAACACTGCCCTCCAAAACAAAAATTGTTAATTGCAAGGGCGTGAGAAGTTAAAAAACGAGTTTTGCAGAGTTTTCTGTATCTTAACAACAAAGAATTGACTTGATGAAAAATTGTAAAGATATCTTTCCTAAGAAAATCAATATAATATCTACAATATTAAGTTATTACAATAATTTCAGAAAAATGAAAACTGGAGCCTAAAAATACAAAAAACTACAATTTTAATAAATTTTCATTAAACTTTGAGCTTTTTGCGCGCCTTGTTAACATAGTTGTATAAATTTTAATTTTTTAAATAAATTATCTTTAGACGTATAAGAACAAATTTCCTTGCTGCACTCTTCAAGTTTCGAACAAAAATTTTTTTTATACATAAACAACGGGCNCTTCAAGTTTCGAACAAAATTTTTTTTTTATACATAAACAACGGGGATCCTAATATCTATACTGTAAAATCAATACGATATTCTGTTTAAAATACTTCTACTGTTTAACACTGCTATACAATCACTGAAGATAACAACTACATGAATTGCATGTCCACCAACCGGTTGTAGTTCAGGTAATAAAAGTAATAATTTTTAGCCGTTCCACAGCTTATCTTGAAATCGTTTGATTAAAGTACGCTGCGTAATTTTAGATCTGCGATTATTAACTAAGATAAATGACTTTTATTTCCCCAGAAAAAAAAGAGTATAATGATGTTNCTTATTTCCCAAGAAAAAAAAGAGTATAATGATGTTATTTTTAAATCGATAAAAAAATTATTGCGATATATTACTAATAGAATAGCTAAAACATTATCGTTTAACATAAAATTTATTAGTTAGCAAAATTTAATTAATCAGTGGATTATATCCATAAATAATAAAAAGGTGTCTAATCATGTATTAAAATTCTATAGATGAATTAAAATTTAAAAAAACCCAGCACAGGGGGATCGCGACACAGTGGTGACATAACATAGTGGGATTAAGTATAATGACATCTGACAGTGATTAAAATCATTATCTTAAAAAACGCATCGATGCAAATCTTTAGATAGTGTTTAATTTTAGGAAGTTGGTGGATTACACCAAAAACAATGCGATTTTGTATTTCCTTTATTATTCCTGATTAGTAGTTTTTTGATTTAGAACATGAATAAATATTTATCATAGCAATTAAATTATAATATGGGATTGATGTTTAATAATTTAGTATTGTATTTTTTTCGGAGAATTAATAAAAAATTATAAAGTAGTTATAACTTTTATGTAAACGTGTATAAAATTGAAGGGTTTGACACAAAAATTTTTAGATAATAACTTGTTACTTATAAATAAATGGCTTGCAAAAAATTTTCATCAGAGTGAAAAATATAATTTTATTATTTAATGTTTCGTGGTAATTTCAAATTAGCAATTAAATTTTTCTAACGCCAATAATTTTTGATATTATTACTAATTGGTTACAACTTTAGGATATAACTTAAAGGAAAATAGATCTGAATGTTTCAACTGTATCATCTATTTAAACACCAAGAGTTACATAGAAATGATTAATATTTCTTTGAAATGATTTATTACGATAAAAAACAAAAAAAAGTTGATTTTAAATTATTAATATGTTTTTGATATTTAATATGTTAATAAATATAGTTTAAAAAAACTAAAAAACACCCTTTTAAAGCACATCGAACTAAAAAGTTAAAAATAATTTTGCATTTTATATAATATTGGCCGATATACTATTGGTATACCAGTATTACTAGCATTAGTGACAGATTTATAGGTATAATTTATAATAAAATATGATTCAGTGTAGATACTTACCTGACAAGTATACATAACTTTTCTTCTGGGCATATGGGCTTTTTGTGCCTATTATACGGTTTAGAAGTTAAGTCATCTCTTATGTGATTCAATACATAATCAAATAACACTGGTGTTAAGCGAAAGTATTGCCTAAATTTTTCGTCATTACACTGCAGATGGCGACGCACTAAAATTTGAAATGCACCCTCAGTTTCACGATTTTTGAACATAACACTCTCCTCCAAACGATTGTTTTCGTCTTCTGATGACTCTTCGTCATCCAAACATACTAATAACGCTATGTCCAAATCGTCCATTTTTCACCAATGCGCGATCAACTACTCTCGAGTGAGTACTGACTTTTAAGTGACTACGATTGAATACGGTCGCACTACTTCCTAGGAAACCACAGATTGGTCACCGTAAAGACGGCCGTTATTAACAACCGTAAAATGACGGCCGCTAGACAACGGCACCGCTTTTCTAGGAAACCATAGCTTTAATCACTGGTAGCGTGAAAGGGCACATGGGAACTTGAGCACAAGGGTACAACAACAAATAATAAAAACTGTGGTGTACAACGGCCGAACAATTTACTATTCAAGCAAAGGCGCTTGCTACAAAAAAGAATGACACATAAAACAAAAATTGACTGACTGACTTACGACGATAAACTGTACACGGAGGTCATCGATTTGCCGTGCTGGATGAGCAATGGGGTGAGTAAAACAAGACGCTGGAGATCAGCTGTAACAATATAATCAACGATGTTTGTAACAACTGGTCTACTAGATCTTTGCTAAAGGCATTTTGTACCAAACAATATTTGAGGAAGTCTGGAGAAATTTGTGATATTGTGGAGGGTGGTCGAAAGAACAATGGAAAAGAACTGATTTTAGATAATATTCAGGGTAATTAAACGTATTAAAACAGGTGGATGCAGATATAGAAATAACGTTTTTATATAATGATCTCGAAATGGGAACTATAGTTTGGGGTTGATATAGTGGAGTCATTTTTGCTTTGAATATAAAGCTGTCTATCTATCATAAATATAAAGCGCGGTTTTTCATCAAAACCCCTTAACTTTTCAGCATTGAGCTCACTAAATAATTCGCATACGTTCTTCCTTTTTTTCAGATAATGATTTCATTACATCACACGCTTCATTTAAACAACCTTTAATACTTATTAAGCTCAGATTTGTCTTTCTTTTTTTATTTAGCACAGAATCAGGTTGAGCATTACTTGAACGAGTATTACTTAAGCTAACATTATTTGAACAAGCTTTCTCATCTGACCCAATAGTTTCAACGTCTTGTTCAAGTTCAGTTTCTGATAAAAAATCTCCACTATCAATATTTTCTAATCCCTAAATTTAATTATAAAATAATCCAGTATAGTTGTTACTAAGAATAATTGAAACCATTATTAATTGTCCTTGCCTATTATATTTTAAAATATATAGTATACAATCAAAATTATATACTACTAATTAAAAAGTTATTTACTTGTGTGTTAATTGTTTTTCTTGGTACATAAATATCACTTAAAATTTTGCCATAGCCTCATATGCGAACCAATTCGGTTTGTATATATCATCCGGACTTTAACTGATTTTTGTACTAGACTTCACATTATTTCATCTTAATATCTTGCTATATAAATCATTTCTAAAAAATAATTCTTCTTAGTTTCACCTGAATTTAACAATGAATTATTACAATTATAATCAAGTTTTATAATACGCTCAATTGAGTAGTTTTTTTAACACCATATTATTAGTTATTTTAGTTAAAGTAAATCATTAAAATAATTAAGTTCTGAATATTTCAATTGTAGAATCTTTTTAAACACCAAAAGTTACTTAGAAATGATTACTATGATTTCTATTTAAGCGATCTATTACGATAGAATTGCAAAAAAATATTGAGCTTTTCTGATATAATGATTGTAAATAGTAATTATAAAATTTCCTGACTGTATATTAATCCTAACAATGTTATTATTTTAATTCTCATAAAATTTTCTACTTAATAATGTAAATTTCAAACTTGAAGTTGAGCTAAAAGTTATGGTAACAATTCTCAACTTTTTTTTTATTATAAACTTTTAAAAAATCAACTTTAAAGAACCAAAAAAATAGGTTAAAAATGTCATTTTGTATTGATTATTTTGAACATATTAATAATCAAAATCAGTAATAATTTAAAAACAATTTTTTTTTGTTCTTAATTATTTTAGCTGAGATGGTATTGGTTTT